TTTGAGTGAGTAGAAATACTTTGATTGAATATAAAAAATATATTTTGCATTGTATAAATTCACTTTTTTTCACATCCTACGTGTATTTGTTAAATGTAAACAATGTTTGTAAATCCCAGGCCCTGAAGATGATCTCAATAAAGATCGAAACGTTGGCACGATGAAGAAAACGTTTTTCTGAAACCTCTGAAACCTACATCACACCAGACCGCATCTCACGATTTCTGAATAATCATCGACTAACGGTCACTAATCACCACACATTATTTTATATATTTTTCTGAGTTTCAACATGACAATTGCATATAAATTGTTTTTATGGATTGATTATTCACATGTCATAAATTTTGATTGAACATAAAGTTTATTTCTCGGTTTGGCTAGTAAAAAAATTTAAAAAAATTATTTGTCGTTGTGATGTTTAATTGTAAGTCATGCACTTCAAAGGCGGGTTTATAGCCTCAGAAATGTATTTGTTTTTGAAATAGTTATCTTCAAGACATGAACTTATGCATGGTTATAAATTCGAAGTATTTTAGTATCTACGATACCCCTATGGCGCAAAATAACAAAGAAGTCTTTATGTAACGTATTGGTTGAAATGTACCCGAAGGTCGTGGGTTCGAATCCCTCTCGTGACACTGCCTTTTTCATTTCAACCAATACCTTAAAGATAAATTAATTGAAAGAAGTTATTTGGTCAATCGGACCACGAGATTATAATGAATAGGCTAAAATATATTTTTAGCAAGAAAAAAGTTGATATGCGTATTTTGCAACAAAATAACAATCAGAAAACACATTTTTGAAAAAATTAAAAAATATATTTTTTCCTCAAAAATGTAATTCTCCAAATACTCCTTTTTCTAAAATCACAAAATAACTTTGGAAGAATCCACCAATCTACCGAAACCTTAACGAGGTATATTAATTTATACGTAATGGCACAAAATAGAAAAATAAAATGTTTGTGTTTTTTTTATTTTATTTTATCTTTCTGTCTTTCACGTAATGAAATTAAGTCCGCAGGTTGTTGATATTGGCTCAAAGAAGAAAAATGAAACTTTTCAACGGTTATACAATAAAAATTGGATAAAATCCAGAGGTTATAAATTTGTAATAATTTATCATCATTATTGTACATCAAAGGGGGAATAGACTCTTGTTTATTTTATCCAAAATCTATGAAATTAAAACATTTGGAATGCGCGATCTTTATACTTTCAAGCATATTTGATATAACAATTTTATAGCAATAAACATAGCTATTTTTGCGCTGCTCTAGCCTTTCTGGTGTTCCACTTAAAACGTACAATTCCACTGGATTTTATTCAAATTTCTCATTGTTATAAAAGTTAAAAAGGTAAATTTTCTTTGCTTTCAACGTACATATTTTGTCTTAAAATTTTTATATACCATTAGGTGAGGTTTTATAGAGCTCTAAATTCGGGTAAAGTTTTCCGTCGATCGGTAAAGTCGTTTCGAAATGACTGAACAACTGAAAGTCGAAAAACTTTTGGGGAAAAATCTTTTTTTGATTTTCCCAAAAACCTGACTGCAGAGGTTTTAGGTTGAAGAAAACGAATTTCAACTTATATATTTCTTGGGTTTCTTTTCAGGAACTTGACAACCATCAAATTCATTTTCTTCTTCTTTTTCGGTTGTTGACTTTTATTAACAAGTTTGATGGTTGTCTAGTTCCTGAAAAGAAACCCAAGAAATATAAAAAGTCAACAACTGGGAAAGAACAGTAAAATATATGAAATATATGCTCGAAAATACAGAAAAGGATATAAAAAAAATTATACAAATTGAACCAAATATTTTTTCTCTTCGCAATCATTAGTACGACCAAAAAGGGTATCATTAAAATTGTTAAACTCACATCTGCGAATAGTGGTATGAAGATGACCTATGAGATTTGAACAAAACTTAATATTCTTAATAAATATACAAATTTATTACGTACTTAATCTTTTTATGAAAGGTTTTCGTTGAAACGAAAAAGCTAGTGCCACGAATGGGATTCGAACCCACGACCTTGACTTCGATCGACTCGGACACCATCACAACTTAACTTTCGAATTTTTCCTCCTTTTTGCCCTTTTTCAAATGTCGTTTTACTTATTAAATCCGTTATATTTTGTGGTCTATTGACCAAAACCTTACATAAAAAAGATTAATTAATTGAAAGAAGTAATTGGTAAGCGGTAGAGCAGCGGCGTATTTGCCGACGGTCATGGGTTCGAATCCCGCTCGTGGCACTAGCTTTTTCGTTTCAACCAAAACCTTACATAAAAAAATTAATTAATTGAAGGAAGTAATTTGGTCAATAGACCACTAAATATAACGGTTTTATTACCTACATAAAACCAAACTAACGTTCACAGTAAATAATATAAATACAAAATATTAAATAAAGATTGAAATTAAAAATATGCTCATGACCATGTTGGCACCTGTAGATTTGGCCTCGTTTTCACCTTTTGATATCTCTGTTCGGCCATTTTTAATTAAGAAGTATCTCTACTTTCTATGTGCTCGCCTTCGTGACCATAAGAGATTTGCGTGACAATGTAACTAAAATTATGTCTTTCTTTTAATTAAAAACAAAAATAAACAAATAAAACCTCCTGGAAGAATTAATCCGGTTGATGGCCGATTACATCATTTGGTTCTTTCTTTCGAGGTACATTTAATTTTGTATTTTTCTAAAGGGCAGTAAATTTTCCTAAATTTATATAATTTAAATCTTGAGGGCCTACCGTCCAATAACTTTATAGTCTTGGCAGAAGACGGATTTCAGTTTAAAATACTATAAATAGTATATATAAATTAGCCAAATATGTCTGTTATGTGAAATCTAACAAGATTTAGAATTTTGACTACAGTGGGATGATAGAGACCTACATAAATTACAAATCACTAGAAGACACTAATATTAGTTATAAATAAAAGAAAAATGTATATCAGGCCAAAAGTTTTTCCCTTTTCTCTTTTGAAATTTAGATATTATTTTTTGACTTAGACTTATTGTAAAACTCTTAACTTCCAGGAGGATTCAGTTCAAATCATAATAGAAAAAGTACTCAATGCAGTTTAACAATAAATAGAACAAAGTACATGACGACTGAGTAATGACCCAGTAAATCACTCGATATCTTGAACTTCGTAACTGGCAAGTCCGAACGATAAGTTTTTGTATTTTTCGCTCTTATAACTTAAAGAATTTCTTTTTCCCAGTTTTAGCTCAACAAGTATTGAAAATTGGGTTGATACGTTTTTTAATACATTATGATATGACTATGCTGATGAATTGCATAAAATCTCGATAAACTACGAGCTTTGTTCAAAAGAGCAAAGCACGAAAAAATGGATGCAGAAAGAAATAACCCCATACTGGATGGTATGTGCTTGGTTAAGAAAATTTTTCATTTAACTGTGGTTTTTGTATCAAAAGGTTTGTTTTGGATTTATTGAAAGATTTAACTTTTTGTAAGCCAAGTAAAAGCTGTTTCGTAACAAGTTTTTATATATCCATAAATGATCTAATGTTTTTTCGCAAATAATTTTAAAATGTTTTTTCTTATGAGATTTAACTTGGAAACTTATATGTTTTAAGACATTATAAGTGCGAAAAGTAAGGATGAATTAACAAATATTTTTCTAGTATTTATTTTTCAGGTTCTCTAATTATTTGCAGCAGCCAAATATACACCATTAGGTGTGGTTTCGTCTAAATTCGTGTAAAGTTGCTCGTCGATCGGTGAAGTCGTTTCAAAATTATCTCTTTTGTGAATTTCGCTAAGCATCTGAAAGTATAGGTTAAGTTCACATAGGTAAGCATTATGGTGTACATCAACTCAATTAATTTAATGTTAATTAAAAATTAATTATTCTTTCTAAGGTCTTGGTTGAGATAAAAAAGTCAGTGTCACAAGGGGGATTCGAACCCACGACCTTCGGCTAAATACGCCGCTACTCTACCACTTGTGCTATCGTGAGTTCGATCCTCTCGGACAACAACTCTCCATCTCAACCTACAACCGTTCGAATTTTTACCTCTTTTTGCCATTTTCAAATATCGTGTAATTCGTGTCCGAGAGGATCGAGTCAGGATAGCGCTGGTAGAGTAGCGGCTATTTATCCGTAGGTCGTGGGTTCGAATCCCGCTCGAGACACTTACTTTTTTTAATCTCAAGCAAGACCTTAGAAAGAATAATTAATTGATTGAAAGAAGTAACTTAGTCAATTGACTACGAAAACGTAAATGGATTAATTAAAATATTAATTTTTATTAAACTCAATAATTTCGTGGTCCGCTTGACCAGTTAATATATTACAATTAATTAAGGTTTTTAGTTGAGATAAAAAAGTCAATGGAACGAGCTGGATTCGAACCCACGATCTTCGACTTGATACGCCCCTGCTCTACCACTTGAGCTTACGTGACCTCGATCCACTCGGACACCAACTTCCCATCTCAACCACACCTTTTGAATTTTCCCTCTTTTTTGCCATTTTTCAAGTGGATCGAGGTCACGATAGCTCAAGTGGTAGAGCAACGGCGTTTCTAGCCGAAGATCGTGGGTTCGAATCCCGCTCGTGCCATTGACTTTTTTATCTCAACTAAAAACCTTAATTAATTGTAGTATATTAATTTTTATATTGTTTTTGTTCCTGGTACAACACAATCAAAATAGTTCTTCAAAATCGAAAACGGTACAACCTCTTCGGAAAGACGATACTAACTGGGGGAATTAGCGAAAATTCAATTCAGCAATCTATTAGGAAAGGTCTTAGCTTGTGGTCTCTCTTTTTGTAACCGGCCTTTCCAAAGCTTTTAATGTTCACCCGAGAATAATTCGATGTGGAGTAGGTTGCTCACACGTCCTGAAACGCTTTCGCGGAAAATGAGTTCTAGAGAGATGATCCTTACTTTTATCTTATTTCCTTTCACAAAATAAAAGTAGAAATAATTGGAAAATAACACCATGCAGGTATTCAATAAATATGTATTTAAAATTCCTTAAGTACATCTTGCATTTAATGCTAATTCGTCAATAAACATAACAGCTATTACTGTTTTTAACAGTTCTTTTATTTAACAATGGATTATCTTGGTATAACAAAATTTGTGGTAGCGTTTGATTTAAGAATAATAAGTGATATTTTCAATATAAAGTTCCAGACAATAAAAAAATCGTCCACAAATAATGTAGGAACTTAAATCTGTATTTTTACAACCCCAGTGTACAATGATGACCTAACGATAGTAGAAAAGCACGGTGGAAGGTAATCTAGATTTATAGTTAGTAATTTTAATATTCTGAATCTACGTTAATAATTATTACCTTGTATATATTTTATAAGATAGCATAAATAAAATTCTAATTAAATGCAAAATTCACATACATATTAAAAAATTGTTTTTATCGGATTGGATTTTTTAAATATAAAAAATGTTTCTTGCATGTCAAAAATTAATTATTACTAAACGATAGATGTCTTAAATAGGAACTTATATGTGTAATATAGTTGTTTTTCTTTTTTGCTTACAATTTATGTGTATATAGGTTAAAATAAAAATATTAATTTTTGCATTGAACATATTTGAAATAAGTATACAACATTAATAATTTAGGTTTGATCATTGGGGGTTAGAATTTAAAAAAAATTCTTTCTCCGTTAAAATACATATAAGTTCTATAACCTTTAAACTATCGTACCTATTTGATAGTATCACCTAGTAGTCCTAATAAATAAATAAATAAATTACAATATTTTTAAAATTATTATTGGCTCTAATCATATTTAGAATAGAAAAATAATGTAAAATTTAATTGAAATAACAAACTTAGCAATAATTAATTAGCTTTTTCATTGGTTGATTCAAGGAAGTCTTCACGTCAAATTTACGTCTATCAGCTGTTATACATTCGAACTATACCAATTGTCGACGATAGTTACATTGCTATAATGCTTTAAAAGAAAGCATTATGCGCCTAATGAACATGAGAGTTTTAAATTCGTAAGAATAAATACGTACTAAATATCATAACATAAGCAAAAATATATTTATTTATTTATTGTTTTACATATATGTTAATCTTTGGTATATTGATCTATACGCTTAATATCTATTTAATTTACGTAAGTTTTAAATTTGCTGTTGATTCTGATTTTGTTGATCAAGTTTGTTTTGTATAAGGAAGAAGTGATGTTTAATCTTTTTCTCTCTTCGTACTCGTATTCTTCAGGTCCTTCTATTTCCTCATCTTCATCCTTTTCTTCATCTTCTTCTTCTTCCTCCTCCTCTTCTTCCTCTTCTTCCTGTACGTGTTCTTCTGCTTGGGGGAGATAGGTGATCGTCGCGATCGTCGTCGTTTCTTGTCTGCTTTCCTCCGTGGTCGTGGGGTCTTCCGAGGTCGTCGGAATTACCGTCGTCGGGACGTCGGTCGTCACCTGTGTCGTTGATTCGTATTCGTCCTCGTAAAGGGCCGAGTTCACTTGCGCCACAGCCGGGCCGAGGACGTTATCCACGTAGTCGGCGAGGTCCTTGCACTTCTGGGGTGTATTGACGTCTTTGCTGGAGCCCCAGATAACCACGCCATCGCAGCCTTTCTCCTTCGGCGCTCCGATCGAATCAATCATATCTTCCTGAAACATGAACCTCGTGATTTTTCTCCCAACTTTATAATTCATAATAATTTTTAAAAAGATCACGGACCTGAGTGAGAAAACGTTTCGAGTCGTGGTATTTGTACCAGATGTACGGGTAAACAGGTGAGCCTTTGGCGACCCGCATCGACTCCCCTATACGACCTCTTATATATTTTCTTCTTGTTATCGTCCCCATGTCCCTTTCCTTCAAGTACAGCGACGGATAATAGCCAGTGGTCTCGTTAAAAAGCCATATCATCCTAAACCGCGACAACAATCGTTTGTTACATAAACATTTATATTTGCGTACTTATATAAAAATATGTACGTTTGGATTTATATAAACTCAAATCTGCACATGTATGTACATATATACACATCATGTATAGTAGAAATAGTGAAGATGGAGTGAGTATATAAACCGCTCAAAAATGAATAGGGATATTTGTAATTTATTCTTACTCTCTTAATTTTAAGATATATGATTGTTAGTTGGCTAAAACAAAATCTAAAATACAAACCAAAAAGAAACAATTGTTAATCCTCATTTTTAATAACGGATTTACTTAATAATAGTAAACACGAGGATTACTCATTTTGTAAACAAACACCTTTTCTCGCCTTTTCTCAATTTTAATCCAGTTGTGTTCTCTTTAACCATGTAAAAACATCATCTTGAACCAGAAGTTCGCAATATTATTGTGATAATAACCAATGACCATCGAGATCACCGGCAAGTAGATATCGAGAGGCATTTGGTGTTTCCCAGAGCATGGAGAGCCTGGGCATGCCCATAGGAGGCCTGGTAGTGGATCCCAGAGCAATACGACGCTAAGAGAGGATAGAAATATTATCATTGCTGCTGGACGAAACCCTTTCCATAGTGGCCGCCAGATCCTAAATGATGTAAAAGATGTTTTGGCAAGCCCTTTATGGGGTAAGTTGGCTTCACATCGTATTCTTCTTTGAGACGATCTTCAGCAACAACACGTCACCAGCAACTCAGGAGAATATGGTGCATTCCGTTCCTGAGAACCATCGTCAACAAGACAAAAGGATCTTTAGCGTCCGCACCTGGCCTTTTCGGCCTTATCGGACGTTTTGATTCTCAAGATGAGAGCTGACGCACCTCCACATACGATGGAATAGTGTTACCGTCGCAGCATTGGTGTAGAGGCGCCCCAGCCCCTAAGGGCCGAGACAACCTCGCTCTCCGCTTGTCCACACCGAATGGTTGGGCCCGCATTGTGCTCGGGTCGTATGCTGCACGCAAAAGGCTAACAGGCCGAAATACATCAGCCTGTCCTCCCGCGTACTCCCTAGATAGAGAAGGCCACTCTATCTCCCTGAGTATAGTGGCTCCCCTAGCGTAGAGACTTCCGGGAACGTCCCGGCAGCGGTTTAGTTTAAAGTTGAATTGCTAACCACACCCTAGATGAGCACCGCCTACGGTAAAGTCTCTTATCGAGCTCAGCCTACACCTGCCATGCGCATTCGAGGGACGCCATAGGCTCAGCCTAGGTGGTCCATCCTTCGCTTCCCCAAGGGTACCACGCCGGTCATACGCACAACAATGCAAAGCATACTCGAGTCAGAGACACCGATTCACTACCCGTTTCCGTTCGCTTACTCACGCATTCGAGGGACTATTCAGCATGATCATCGCGTCCTCAACGCTTACACGCTGTCGTCCGGTTGCAACGTCTCCCGTGAGGTCGGGGGGTAATTACGCTGGCCATACGTAAGCTTCACGAAGGTCACAGATAGAAGACAGCCTCTGTCTAAGTTCCCGCCAGGGGCGTCACCACGAAACCTTTCCCAATGTAACTTTGGGCTGGTTTTGAAACATTCAAGTTACCCCGTGGTACAGACGGCCATACACCTGCCCCCGTCTATGCAGACAGGATCTAGTGCACCGGCCCTCCTAGTGCGACTCTGCTAAGGCTGTGACCCTAGGCCGACACGAGTACAGCTTGTGCTTTAGAGATGTTGCCACGCCCTCTGGGCTGAACATTTATTTTGTAGCCGGATACCCTCCTTGCAGCCAAGGGTTGGGAGGGGTCACAGGATTGAATGAAGGAACTCGGATTGAGAAAAAGGGTCGTGGATGAGAACACGAGGTGAGCTGTTTCGGGGTCTCGAGTCTCAAACCACAATATACCACCCGTCGTCGCCGTAGTTCCACGGGTGGTATAGTGGGGTTTTGAAACTCGAGACCCCGAAACGGCTCACCTCGTGTTCTCATTCATGGCCCTTTTTCTCAATCCGAGTTCCTTCATTCTATCCATGAGAAAATGGTGCAGAGAGCGCCTAGAAGTGATCATAAATTAGAATACTGTTATATTGACTGAGTCGCGTTTCTGTCTGTACAGTGATAGCAGCCGCCGAAGTGTCTACCGAGAACAGTGAATGCGTACAATGCCCCAGTTCGTGCTCCCTTCAGTGCAGTTATTGAGGAGGCGGTGTAGTGGTCTGAGCTGGGATTTACACTAGAGGACGAACTGGGCTCGATATTGTTGAAGGCAACCTCAACGTGTCAGTTAAGTCTAAGAAATGATCCATAAATACATCCCTCTTACCAGGGGATCCATCCCCCCCCCCGTTTGGCGGGGATGTACGATTTCTTGATGACAATGGCAGACTTCATAGAGTTGTTCATCAATTAAAGAACAGCCTGAGAATTTCCCATCTGCCCCTTCTTCCATTGTCTTCAGACCTCAATCCCATTGAGCACATGTAGGATGCGTTGCAGAGAAGATTTTTTGATCACCATCCGCAGTCGGTTGGCCTGCAACAACTGAATGCAGGGTTGCAGCATCTATGGAGTGAAATTCCTTATGGAATTGGTGCCAACTTTATTGAGAGTATGCCTAACAGGTGAACAGAGAGTATTATACACAATTGTTAAAATAAAATATTGTGACCAATAAACAAAATTATGGAATTGCCTGTGAATTAAAACCTTTCATTTGGTTATTTTTCAAAATCCCTTAATTAAATTTTCCTTCCGTCAAAAACAATCATTTCTAACAAATTTTAATGCAATTTATAATAAAAATAAAATAAAAATGCTAGAGCAAAGTAAATACTACAAAATTGGCAATATCCTTATTCATAAGCAGTTTAGAATCTGTGTGTAGAACCATCATTTACAAAAAGTCAACATGTACAGAGTTGTGTGTATCACTTTTCGCAGTCCATTGGCAATTCCAGCTTTCGTAATTTAGAATAAATTACCACAGACCTCGAGAATCACTCACCTTGGGCGTTGGCAGTCCGGGGTCAGACTGCGGTCTTATTCGTCCAGTCACCTACATTGGGCTCGGAGTGCTGTCAACAACTAGGTCAATTCAGAACCCAACGCATGCAGTTCCTAGATTCAAACCCATTCACACTCTCACTCATTCTTAAATACAATTTTTCTTATTTACGTACCATTAACTCACTTAGGGTGGCGATATTCCTCTATCAACCTTTACACTATTATATCCCAACTGTGGGTTGTTGGGGTACTCAATATTCCGTCATCAGCGCTCTTATACATTCACGCTGTTAAATACATTCACCCCAACACACGCTAGGTACCCAAAAATATCAGTTCTATATATAACAACCCCGTTTTTCCAAAAATAAGAACAGGGGACCCACATACTCTCTGATCGGGTTAACCACGATTCTCATATCGAGAGGCATTCCTACACGCTCTCTATATAGAGCCAAGGAGTCGCACCTTCCAATTAGGCGAGACACTTCGAGAAGCCTTTCTCTACACGCCGGACACATACACGGGCTTTGGCTCAAAAGTAAGAATCCGTGTATCAACCTTGCATGGCCTAACCTTAATCAGATGATGACCCCTCTTCTACGAGTAAGATTCTCCACGGGTCCCTATAGTGCTACATGAGAGCTTTTCCGCCCCCTCCTTCCGAAAAATATGTAAAATATATTAGTTTTAATAATAATAAAAATATAGATAAAAGTAAAGTCTGTCATACAGGTTAACGTTCAAAATTTGGGCTATACATCTTTACAATACTTTTCAAAATTTCAGCTGTATTGATTCGATGACGTAAGTAAAACAGACATTGTGCAGTGACCATCCAGTGATTCAATAATTGAACAAGTGAATATTTGTTAGCCTGCGCCTGAACAACCACCAAGTATTGTATAAATCATCAGCAATACAGCCATTTCAATGTACTGAGAAGAAAAGTCCCCAAAAGCCTAACAAAGGAACTGAGTTATTTCTTTCTAATTCGCATTATCCCTGAAGTTTTACATCAATTTTATATTATTGCGGATTTCTTTCACCTCCAGATCAATTCAGTTTATACTGGCACTTAGTATCATATATTAAAGACCAAATTAAAAACAATTTAGTAAAAATATCAAATTTTGTACATAATTTGAACAAACATTTGTTCTTATCATCATCGGTTCGGAATTAATCACAGTTGATATAGGAAAATTTTTCTTATTTAATAGAAAATTACTGATATCAGTTGGGAGTTTCTTGTCGTAAACGATTCTATTGGATTGTCATTTTGTACATAATCTTGTTGGTTGGACGCTTTTACAATGGTTTTTGTCACATGTTTTGACGGTGAAAACAGGGCCATTAATTAATGATACCCTCCCTAAAGATAAAGAGGGCAGTGTGGCCTGTTCAGTTCATCCGTCCTGCTGATTGTCACGGCGGTGGGTTTGACGGTCTAACTAGCACACCGGAAGCTTTGTGACCTCGGCCGCTGGTCGGGATGAATCGAAAAAAGTGCTTTACCCGTCGTTGTCTTGTTGAACCTGTGCCGCACAAGTTTCTTTGTAGTTGTGAGGCGAGTAGTTGAAGCAGAACGGGTAACCGTAGTAGCCCCATTTGGCCTTCGGGTACATTTGCTTCGCGAACTTGAGCGACTGGAGGAGGAACATCTTGGCAGCGAGTTCGAATCTGTAGATGGCCTTTTGAACAAAACAACGTAATAAAAGATACTGTATAATTTATAGGGTTGCTGGTTTTTACCTCTTTTTCGACAAGACTCGGAAACCAAAACGGATGCCGTCTTTTTTCAATAGCCTTGGAGTATACACGGTACACGTTCAAACTGCCCCAATTCTGGTGCCATATCGCTCTCCAATGTTCGAAATCTATAACTCCTAGACCTGTTCAGACAAAAATTTTAATTTAATATAAAAAATAATTGTATATGCTAGAAATTTGATAGTGTTCAGAGGGAATGGTCGCTTCATCATGATAGGTTGTGTGAAATAACACTACAATTACAGTAGACTTTCGTTATCTGGGGGATATGTACCAAGCATACTGCGGATAATAGGAAGCACTTCTAATTTAAGACTTTGAAGCATTTTCTTCTATCTGCCAATCAGATACTTTCCGTATCGCCTATGCCTATCGTCAATGCTTACGTTGGACTTATGACCCATATTTCAGGTGTTTTCAATAAGAAAAATACAATGTACGGTAACTACATAAAGATTACTCCACACAAGAAAACAATATGTACATGCATACATCAGTTGGGCGCAATGCACGACAAGAAATGAGAAAAAAAATATTACGGGCCTAAATAGTTAAATTGTTATTGACCGCGGATAATTAAACCCTACCGCAATTAAAACTTGTGCTTCATTTTTTAATATTAAAGCCAAGTCAGAAAGTACCGATGAAGTAAAGCCATCAAACTGGCTGGATGTTTGTGTATACGTAAAACAGATGAGACCCTAATTTCTGGATGAAGAGGTCCTCGGTTCAATGGAACTATAGCTCGGGACAGAGGTATGCTAAAAAGTTCATCAAAGGACCATCACAAAAACTTTTGACCCAAGGACTAAAACGAGAGTAGGAATGTAGACAGTCTAGTGATGGAGCTTCGCATCAAAAGAGTTATCTCACTTTACTGAGCGAATGATGAGCTGCTCAGGAAAAAAAGTGTTCTGTTAATTTACCTCTTCAGGACGCTGGAGTCGCCTTTATGCTCGTTCAAGTTTCAACCCTTCACGATCCCACATTCTACCATTGACTATTATTCTAACTATTATTATATCCAGTTATATCAAGTCAGAAATAAGAAAAATATTTACAAATGAGCTCTACGAGTTTAAAAAATGTGTTATGCTTAATAAAAATATTTATTTCCATTAAATATGCACTTTTGTTTGTTTGTATATTTAGATTTTTGTTTGACTCTCTTGTTCACAAGAAAAAGGTAATAAGTTGACAGGGTTGTTAATTATAATGTGAACGAAACGACGAACTGTTCAACCTTCTTTGTTTAATTCTTCGTATTTTTTAAATGAATTATTTATGAAATTTATTATTGGCCCTGGCGCTGGCACACCGGAATTTGAAAAACCCGCCAAATTTCACGCACGGAAATATGGGTAAGATAAATTTGGGGCTTGCGAACGCCATGAAAAACAGCTCTTTCATTTCCCTGAGTGAGCGCTTTTTCCAATCTCTACTGGACACTGCCGACTCTGGAGTCATTTGCATAAACTCGAACCAGGAGAAACAAACTTTCAGACCAGGAATTAGAAGAAACAGTGGAACATGTCCTTGATTTTGCTAAGGTCCGTGCATGCTGAGATTCCTACTCCTGGAAGAGGATAAACCTAGGTCTGAAGGATAACAGCACTTAACAATACTTTATGACCTGTTGAAAGCCTTGCTGAACTAACTTTCACGAAGAATGGATGTGTTCATCTTTGAAGTAGGCGGTAATGTGGAATTTAGTCAAACGATTAGCAAAACAGTCAAAGTTCAATATTGGTGCGGTATGCTATGTTGTAAAAAGGCCGATTCCTTTTAACCTTTAAACAATTTAATTAAATATTTATTATTGCATCTAGATTGGCCCCTTTCACAGAGCATAAACACGAATATCACTACCGTCTCATACAAATTTCCGTCTGACTCCCATATAAACGATTTTTTTTAAATTCTTAAGAATGACGTAATGTTTTGGATCAGCCATCTGATTTTATTTTCTACCTTTTCAACTGAAGACGTTTCAGACGTTACAAAACTGTTCTTGGGATGAAGATTATCCGGTACATTTCCGGCTTAGGTAAACCACAAAAACGTTCTCTAAGTGGCATAACTTTACAAGGTCACGGGTTTCACATAGCTTGGAATTCGAACTTATTTCTAATCCAGCACTACCTACGTCTTTGCTCTTCCGGACTGTCACTTATACCGTTCCGTGAAATTTTTTCGAGGGCACAGTTTGAAGATAGACGAGTATTTGAGTGACATTCTTCGCTTCTGAAGTTCTACGTAAGATAGACTGATTAACTGGCTCATCAGATTCAGGCGATAGTTGTAACAAATAATTATATTGCAAGGAAAAACAGCAGGTTTAAAATTTTTGAAAAAGATAGTGTCACGAGCGTGATTCGAACCCACGACCTTAGATTCCAATACGCCGCTGCTCTAACGAGCTATCGTGACTTCGATCCATTCGGACACCAACCCCTCATCTCAACCTACAACCTTTCGAATTTTCCCTCTTTTTGGCCATTTTTCAATCGAATCCCGCTCGTGACACTATATTAATTTCAACTAAAACCTTACATAAAAAGATTAATTAATTGAAAGAAGTAATTTGGTCAATAGACCACTAAATATAATGGATTTTAAATAAATATTGAGCAAAATCAAAGATCCTAATAATTTTTTCAATAATTTAATTTATTTTATTTATTGCTATCTGTACAAAATATACATTGAGTAAATATATTAAATTAACTAGTTTCGTGGTCCGCTTGACCAATTAATATCTTACAGTTAATTAAGGTTTTCAGTTGAGATAAAAAAGTCAATGGCACGAGCGGGATTCGAACCCACGATCTTCGGCTTGATACGCCGCTGATCTACCACTTGAGCAATCGTGACCTCGATCCACTCGGACACCAACCTCCCATCTCAACCACACCTTTTGAATTTTCCCTCCTTTTTGCCATTTTTCAAATGTCGTGTAATCAATTTGATTCTCGGCGACAATGAAATGACCACGGAGAGCTTTAGTGAAGTATACTTCATTTAAACTTATTAAATGCACTAGTTTCGTGGTCCGCTTGACCAATTAATAACATTCAATTAATTAAGGTTTTACGTTGAGATAAAAAGTCAATGGCACGAGCGGGATTCGAACCCACGATCTTCGGCTTGATACGCCGCTGCTCTACCACTTGAGCTATCGTGACCTCGATCCACTCGGACACCAAACTCTCATCTCAACCACACCTTTTGAATTTTCCCTCCTTTTTGCCATTTTTCATCTCCACTGAAAACCTTAATTGATTGAATAAATAGTTTAGTTTTATACAAAGCTGACAGACCTGTCAGGCCAGGAGGCAATGGGGGGAGAAACTAACAAGTGCTGGAACTCTCTTTTATTTAATTGGGTGGGCTAGATAGGAGGTCACGAGGCCATCGTCTTTTTCAACTGCGCGGAGGATTGTAAGGGTGAGACGTTGAGGAAAGATCTAGGGCTAGTGGGTTAGGGATAGGTTAGAGTGGAAATATTGTGGAAGCATGTTCGGATAAGATCTTTCACGAAAGAGATTTTAAGATCTTTATGGATCATTGGTGACAGAAGGGAGCATTGAGGATACAGCGGAGGACTTTAGATTGAAAAGAATGAATTCGTGTGATATTGGATGATTGGCCGAGCACCACAGTTCGACTCCGTAGGTCCAAATAGGACTGATGAATGTTTTGTAAGAGGTTAGTTTGTTATGCATGCTTAGTTTGATTTTGGACCCAATAGGTGCCTGATTACACCATATCTTTCGTTTAGTTCCTGACGTTTTAATCTTCTATGTAGGTTCCATGTAAGTCTGCTATCTAAATAAAGCCCAAGGTAGCGGACTTAGTACTAACTTGTTGTTAATGTACAGTTGTGGGCAGGTTTGATGTTTGAGCGTAAACGTAATTTGTTGTCTTTTTTGTTCGCTTAACCTGATCTGATGTAGACTGCACCAGTCGGTAATGAGGTATACATGTTGTTGGATTCTGTTGCTGGGATAGGATTGGAGTGTGCTGAAAAGATTGCTTTGTCGTCCGCTGAGGTATTTGGATGTGTGGGTATGTCGCAGTGTAGATGGTGTAGAAGATTGGGCTTAGGATACTTCCTTGTGTAACGCCAGCTTTGATTAGTGTGATGGGTGACAAATCAGCGCCGATTCTCACTTTAAAACATCGATCCGGGAGGAAGGATTTTAAATTAAATTAATTTAATTTAAACTTTAAACAAATTTTTACTACATGATTTAAAATTGTGGTGTCTAGCGACGGTTATCAGATGGTTATGTTAGTTTTTCAGGGAAGACCAAGTGGTTGAGTGATTTTTTCCCCTGACACGTGGCGAAATCAAATAGAATAGATAATTGTAAGTGACACCCGGCGTAAATCCTGGGGACCGGTGTACCCAATTAGGTGAAAGTGTGAATCTAAAGGGTCAATACTATTGATTCTCGCTGGACTTTTGTGTCGTCCGAGAAGAGAAAGCACTGAGGGCTCGCGTGCGAACACGATTCCCGGTGCGCCCAATGAAATCAAATTATTTTAATAACTGTACTTGTTTTCTTTCGTGACACTGGGAGACTTATCTCTGGAGGATCAGGTCCCCTGCTTATCTGATGATGAGAAAACGAAGGGTGCCATTTGTCATTAGAGTTTCTGAAGAAAATCTTTTCACGTAAATCCGGCCTGTTCTGACCCGGCAATAAACCTCATTTTTCACAACCCTTTTTCTCGATTCTGAAAATTTATCAGATCCCTTAAACCAATAAATCTTAAACCATTTAAATCGGTTTTTAAATGTTATTAATATTTAATGATTAAAAATACATCTGGGAACAATTACAGAAAGATTATACACTTTTTTTTTGGGGGGGGGGTGATATAATTATAGTAAACAGTTGTATGAAGTATGTTAAAAAACAAATGTGTGGTGTTTGGTGACCGTTAGCCAATGATTATTTGGAGAAAGTGGTGTGACGTAGGTTTTATAAACACATTTTCTTTATCATGCCAACGTTTCGATGTTTATTGAGATCATCTTCAGGGCGTGAGATTTATAAACATTGTTTGAATTTTGCAAATACATGTAGGATGTGGAAAAAATATGAATTTATACAATGCTACAAAATTTTAGATTAAAAAAATGAATTTATACAATGCTAGAAAATTTTAGATTTAAAAAATCTAATTTTAATCTAAAATTGTCTAGTATTGTAAAAATTCATTTTTTTAATCTAAAATTTTCTAAAAACCTACGTCACACCAGACCGCACCTCACGTTTCCCAAATGATTAAAACATAAAGTTCAAAAATAGCATAATTACTCTTGAATTAATTAAGTCAATACATTCAGAGGAATTAACGGATTATTAATTTATGATAATTAAAATTGACATACCAGGTTTCCACAAACGTCCTTGTTGTACGTAAGCTTATTAAATCCTTAGTTAACTATTTATATCTAATTGAATCACTTGTTTATATAATGTAAATTATTGTTTACACTGGCTAATTCTTTATTCAACTATGTACTCGAACTGTCTTTGATATGAGATTGGTAGAAATATGAATGTAGGACACTAAATTAGTTAGATCTGACATACATTGGCTTGTATGATACCTTATGTTTATATCTGCATAATAGTTTGATAGACCATAGATTATGCTATTTGCCTTTTTTCGGCCAATGATATCTATTTTCAAATGATAGGAAACTAAAACGATGTGAAATTAAAATGATTTTTTGTGTGACTTTTCATGAAATTTTTTTATCGTACATCGGCACATGCCAGTAAAAATCAAATTTCAAAATCAGAGGTTTGCCAACTAAAATATATTTTAATTATTCCAGAAGTAAGCCTTGGACCATGAAAAAACTCAATGTTTTCACAATGTAAGTATGTACTTTTAATAAAACAAATCATCCCTCTCCATACATACAATCCTAAAATCGCCCTGATTTATTGTCTAGCCAATTGAACAATTTTTAAGAGTAATATTGCGATGGTACAAAAGAAAGTGATATTTTTTCCACCGTAACCACCTAAAAAATGTAAGTATGCCTATGTTATTTTTTTACATAAAACCTATTTTTTCAAAACGGATTTTTACCAACCGTACAGCAACAAAAATTAAACGTTAAATTTTTTATAATTTAAGTATAAATAGCGTAGGATTTAAGATTTGATTTGTCGTAGGTCTATTTCTAACAATATTAAATTGACAAGAAAAGAACACAGAAGGTGCAACGTTGATTCGAATACAGAGAAAGAAATGCAGGAGGCAGGGGGAAAAGAAAGAGAATAAAAGAAGGAAAGAGAGAGAGAGTGAGGGAGAGGGAGAGAGAGTGAGAGATATGATATTAAAATATGATATTACGTTTTATTTTTCATGCAGAATTAGGCCTCTTGAATATAATAATAAAACCTTTCTACACTACAAAAACCCAAAAAACCTTTAAGCCATGTAGAGCGAAATCATCTAATCATAATAATGAAATACAAATACCATCAAACAAACTATAAAACAACATAAAATTACTGTAAACCGAAATATTATTTAAATGTGTGGTGATGGCAACATGAGACACAAGAATGGCACAATTACGCAGGAAGCAAACACTTTGAGAAAATAGAAATACTTTGATTGAATATAAAAAATATTTTTTTACATTGTATAAATTCACTTTTTTCCACATCCTACATGTATTTGTTAAATTCAAACAGTGTTTGTCAATCCCTGGCCCCTAAGATGAGCTCAATAAAGGTCGAAACGTTGGCACGATAAAGAAAATGTTTCTCTAAAACCTACGTCACACCAGACCGCATCTCACAATCTCCGAATAATCATATTATTTAAAAGTGGCATCGATTAGATTTTATTTAGAGACAGAGATAGATTAATAAATAGATGGATAGATAGAAGGTAGGTAAATCGATATTCGAAAGAGAAAGAGTGAGCGGAGAGAGAGAGAGAGAGAGAGAGTGTGAGAGAGAAAGAGTGAGAAAGAGAGAGAGAGTATGAGAGAGAAAGAGTGAGAAAGAGAGAGAGAGAGAGAGAGAGAAAGAGAGAGACGTTCAGACGTATTAATTTTGTCTGTTTACCAAGGAATGTCGCTGTTATATGTTCGTGCACAACATACATTTTTTTTTATAAAAGTGTATATTAAATTACACATAAAAGAAACCAAAATTCATTAATTTTTAAATTAATAGAACTTTAATGTTTTATAAGAACATGTTAATTGCCTGTAAAAACAAAACAAAAAAAGTGTTTTTATGGTCGTTTCATTCGGAATGTGAACCTTAACTTTGAAATAGGGGACCGCGGTAGCCGAGTGGTTAGCATGAGAGACTCTCAACTTTGAAATACAATAATTAATTAAGGTCAATTTAGTCGAGATAAAAAAGTCAATGGCAAGAGCGGGATTCGAACCCACGTCGATTCAAATGTCGTGTAATCAATTTGATTCTCGGCAACAAATGAAATGGCCACGGAGAGCTTTAGTGAAGTATACTTCATTTAAACTTATTAAATTCACAAGTTTCGTGGTCCGCTTGACCAATTAATAACATTCAATTAATTAAGGTTTTACGATGAGATAAAAAGTCAATGGCACGAGCGGGATTCGAACCCACGATCTTCGGCTTGATACGCCGCTGTTCTACCACTTGAGCTATCGTGACCTCGATCCACTCAGACACCAACTTCCCATCTCAACCGCACCTTTTGAATTTTCCCTCCTTTTTGCCATTGACTTTTTTATCTCGACTAAAAACCTTAATTAATTATAATATATTAATTGGTCAAGCGGACCACGAAATTAGTGAATTTGAAATACAATGTTTAAACTTTATTTAATATAAATTCAACGGATCAATTTTGAATTTTGAAGTCATATTCGATGTTTAAAAATAGAAATTCGACTAATTTATACATTACCTTCAAAGTTTCGAGGAATCAGCTTTTCGAGGTGTGATTTTAAAATCGAAAGGTGCTGAGAGAGTGAGCCTTCCTGAGGGACGCCTCCGTTCCTCGGCACGTTACCGTTCGAAGGTGCTTCCAGGAGGGCCGGATACTCTCCCGGATCGTAGAGAATCGATATGACATCGCCTCTGAATTCGTCTTTTACGTTTTGCTTGATGCCCCAGGACGAGACGGACGAGAAGTTGAACCCGTGCGTGTGGCACTGGAAGGTCGGCACGTTCCAGTAGACAGTGAACGTCGGCCGATTTACGACCAACTTGTCGTCATTGTTTACCGATATAAAGCTGGAAAAAAAAATAAAATGAAATTGCAATTAAGGAACCTGCTGTCGGTGAACCTTTTGGTCTTGGTTTCCCTAGTTTCTGTCAGAAGTATTTTGGGTTTTCACAGGTGGGTTTGTGAAGATGTCGAGAAACCGAAACCCGTCTGATAAACCAAAACAGGGAAGACTAAAGCAATCGTAAAAAAGGAAATAAAATAACGTGAAATTTTATAATTACCAGTAGATTATGTACAAAATCAAATTATATAATTTGAGGAAAATATTTGTTTGCCTTTTATACTCCGAGGATATCCTGTTATTAAGCATATTATGTTATAACAAAGGAAGACTAATTTTGTTTTGCATTACTGGCCAAATTTAATGAGGCATGTGGTAATATTATTTAACAAAAAATCAAAGAGTACAGCCAAAGAAAAAGTAAATTCTAAAAAATCATAGATTGAATAAACTTTATGTTAAGATATTGGGTTGTCCGGAAAATAATGCAGGATTTTAAGTTTTCATTAAAAAAAATCTATATAAAATATTCTGTTTACGTTTACAGGATTACTCATTNTTTTGATTAAAGAACATTGCTTTAAAGTAACTAGTTTCTTTTTTTTTGTTTAATACCAAAATCCTGCATTATTTTCCGGACAACCCAATAATTTTTCATGAAAAAAAAATGAGTTTGCGGATTAGCCCTCTGACGCTGCAATAAAAAGTAGGACCAAAAGGAAATGGCAGCGACATTAGATTCATGAAAATTCATGGATGAATCGTCTTTAAAAATTAAATTAAAAAAAGTTGAGCAAATCACCTCATGGTCAAGTCAACTAATTACTTTAAACTTATATTATCTACTTATCTAGAAGATAAGACGTTATAATAAAATATTAAACTTGAAATTACAAAGAAGTCGTAAACTTTCATGTTTAACAATAATTGTTTTATAATCTGGTTTATTCGATATCGAGTTATTTCTTTATATAAACATTACTGACGAATTCAATACCCAATTACTTCATGGTCAAGTCAACTAATTACTTTAAACTTATAAAAGATCTAGTGGAGTCAGAGACACCATAAATCCACTTGTTAAGGCGTTATAATAAAATATTAAAGTTGCAATTACAAGGAAGTCATAAACTTTCATGTTTAACTAGAATTATTGTATAATCTGGTTTATTCGATAACGAGTTATTTTTTTATATAATTGTAAATGATGATATCATGAAATGTCCCTTTATTGATCCTATGTCAAAAGTAATTATTAGTATTAATCTTAAGAAATTATTATCAAAAATAATTATTCTGATGATTTGTGTTTTTTGATGAATTTTTGATCCATAAATTAACCTGAAACGAATAATTTGAAAATTTTCCTTTACCTTTATTTTCCTAAAATTCCTATTTATTTTCCTTTTAAAATTTTCCTTTATAATGCTCGAGTTATTTATTTTTATTTAAACCATTAAAAATTCTAAAATAAATCAGCTGTCAGAACTTAAGACTATTTGTAACAGTTTGTGCTCGACTTACCTCACACAGAACAATAAAATTATGTAAGCAAACGCCAAAACCAGCTTCATTTCTTCCCCCATGGTTCGGGATCGGCGAAATTTTTCACTTTAATTTTTCTTAAAGAACAAATTACCACGGTTGCACCAAGAACGGGGCGACTAAGTCGAACCGGCACGCGATACACAACTAATACGATATTTCGTGTTCAAAAGTTTTCACCTAGTTTTATAACCGATGTTCAATTCTATAAATATTATCTTATATTTTTTCTCTAGAGACATAAATTGTCAGGGGATTTTTTTATTTTGCATAACGTTATCGATTAACGGTTGTTTTTATGTCTTATTTTTTTTATCTGTCTGCGAGTATGTGAACCAGTTAACGATTCTTTTTCTTACTTTTGTACTCGGTCTAGCTGTATGATTTTACGGAAAGTTTTAGGATTGCTTCATGTTTTCATAAAATCAAAGATGAAATCATTTATGTACTTTTAAAGAAATAGGAAGAAAACTAATATTATACAGGGTGTCCTTTTTAGATGACCCGGCTGAATTTCTTTTGAAATCAATGATGATATAAAAAAAGACGTTTTTAATATTTTTTAGTCCAGTTTCAAATTTTTTTGAGAAAAATTATACAGGGTAACTCAGTTCAACGTCAAAATTTCATATAAGACATTCTGGCACATTATTTTAAGCAATTTTTTAGGCTGAAAACAATGGTGCAATTGGATTTTAAATTAGTCAAAAAATGACAACCTTTGACAAAAAAGCGTTTCATTTGGTTTGTTGGGTTTGCTATTCATTAGTCTCATTTCATGACCGAACTGCCTGCCTTGCGTAAAGATACAAAGATTTGCTATTTTTATCCACTCTTCACCAGTGCTCAGAGCTAGAGTCAGGGGAGATGGACTGACAGCCATTTTCTATTCTTTGCTGCAGTTATTCACTCAGGAGGTCACCAAGAGGTCCTATCCATCTATCCTGGAAGTGACGATTCAAATAACGTCCCATTTAGAAAAAATTGTACGCGGAACTTCCATACAGCTGGAGAATCTTTGTCGTTATTGCAGAGCAACGTCATCTAATAGTGTTGGTAAAACCACCCTCAAAATATTGAGGAACTGGAGGAACACCATTTAACTTATTTTCGTAGAAATAAGGCGCAATTAATTTATTGCTTAGAAGACCTCACCAAACGTTAATACTGTGAACTACCTGATGATGACGGAGAACGAAATACTCGGATTATCCTCTCCCCTGGTTCGAAAATTCCAACGGTTTAGTATGCCACTAGATATGTGGAAGAACGTTTTTTTCAGCCTCAAAAATCGACATTTGTCCAAGGATCGTTAGACGCCAGTCATAAACAGAGTCTCGAAGTCATTGGACAAGATGAAGCTTAAAACTGTAAGTCCGGAGTACATCTCTAATTTATGTTTTGAAAAACCTAAAACCCTTCCAACAATTCGGAGGGAGAATTTTGGATTTTTGCGGACATACAATAAAATATTCAGCTCCTCGTCGAAATTACGCTGCCGGTTTCTTGGTGATCGAATAGCAGCTCCGTATATCCTCATATTGCGAGCAACACATATAAACGTTTTGTGGTTTTCTGTGGGGCTCTCGGGAAATTTCTGGGAGTACAACTCGACTGCACGACGCGCAGTACCCCACTACCAATAAAGCAGTCGTACGTATCAACTCGTTGTTGATCAGAAAAATGTGTTCTTCGGTTCATTTTGAATGGAATACTGAGTGAAACGAATAGGTATTACTGGAAAATCTATTTACTTCCTTGAATTAAGTTTTGCTCCCATAATGATAGTGTGACAAACAATGACAGAATTTAAACAATAAAGGCAATTAATATGTACTTTAGTGAAGAGGAAAATTATTGAAATTAACAACGAAACAAACGAAATGCGTTTTTTCAAACTTTTTGCCATAGCATTGTCATTTTCTGACCAATGAAATATCCGATTGTTCAACGTAAAACTTCATTTAAAATTATGTGTCAGGATGTATAGGTCGTATTTGAAATTTTGAAGTTGAACTGGGCTTGAGGTGCCCTGTATAATTTTCCTCCGAAGAAAGGTAATAATGTGAAACTAAACTGAAGAATAATAAACACGTATTTTGTGTTAATTTGATATCATCATTGGCTCAAGAGAAATTCAGCCGGGCCATCGTAAAATGACTTCCAGTACAATATGATAAATAAGGACTCAATGTTATCTTGGAATACAAGGTTGTAAGAAATCACGTCAATTCGAGCATTTTACGATAAAAATGATTTTAAACCATAAGTGGTATCGTGGTAGCCAAGTGCGTCAGGCTATAGGCCCTGAGGTTGTGGGTTCTATTTCTACCGTCGACCCCGGAATTTCTGATCCGTTACCCCCCAGCCAAATATCGTTTATCCATATGTTTGACCACATATCAAACTTTCAGATGATTAAGGATATGTTCACACGGAGCAGTTGTTGAATCGACAAATACAAGTTTTTGACAGCCGCAAAAATTGTTGAAATTATTAATATTTATTCCCGAGCGTTAGATGAAGACGGCACAAGTCGCTCGAACCTCCTCCTCAGTTTCATCATATTTTTGGTTGGTTGCCAATTGGCAGCATCATCGAACGGATAGTAAATCCGCTCGTTTACATAAATCTCTTAAGACTCCGGATCAATTCCATAATATTAGATCTTTTGGGGTTTTGAACTACCTGCCACTACTTTCATCTACCTACCTATGAAGAATATCTCATGTATCAGGCTGAAGGGCTTTCTTCGACGGATTGTATGAGGGGTCTTATTATTTGTAATTTCTTTTCCTGCGGAAATTCATGTAGTGAAATGTTTGCGAATGGTACGGTCAAAAGCTTCTCATATCGCCGCATGGTATAAACGGAGGAGGTAGAGAGTACTTGGTGGTGTCGATACACCCTATATATATACAGGGTGAATTGCTACTCGTGCTACAAACTTCTCCAGTAGATTCTTCACCCTAAAATGAACAAAAAAGTTCATATTGTCCATGGTCCGATTCTCAACCATTTCAGAGTAATTTCGCTTTTTATCGATTTTGAAAGATATCACGTCCTGGCGTCGGAAAATCGTGATATCTTTTAATCTAAACATTTCTCTGAAAATCTAATAGCACCGTTGAAATTC